ACATTCTCTGTGCTATTTGTGAATGAGTCAGATCTCTTTCTGGTCCCTCCCTCTGTTAACAAGGAATCTGGTCCATTGAGTTCCTTGTTCAATCCCAAAGGAGGACTGGACCCCAGGGCTCAGCCTTTCTCAGGAGGCAGCTCCTGGAACTCCCTGAGTGATTCCTGTAAGTCAAGATAAGAAAGGCTCTCATGGTCTTGGTTAGAGTCTAGGGACCAGGTACCATGGAGGGCTTCTTGAGGGCCAGATGAAAATGAGCCTGGGGGCACAGAGGTGAAGGCTGTGGGTCCAGGGAACTTCTGAGCTAGAGTTCTCAAAGGCCCTTCTTTTCCTCCAAGAGTCCCAGAGCAGGGTTTTCAGAACTCATGGAGGCTAAGCCATGGCAGAGGGTACCCCTATGCCTGGGCACAGGGATAGGAAGGCAGGACCCATGGAGGATCTATGCTCACAGAGTGGAATTGAGACTGAGGAGAACATGGGGACAGGGAAAGGGACAGAGAACTAGAAGAAGACCCCATTACAGCAGCAGCTTCCCTGAAGCCAACTGCCAGGTTGAGATGGAAACGCTGATTCCAGCTCCAGCCTCCAGACAGGCTAAGAATATCCCAGAAAAGCAACAGCCACCACCCCCGCCCTTCTTGATCTGCTCCTACATCTGGAGTGCTATGCTGGGTGCCAGCAGGGGCAGGGAAGTGAGGGCGTGGGGATGTTGGTGATGCTTGCAGTGGGGGGGGGGGGGGGAGGCAAAAAAAGGGTCTTGGTGGAAGCAGGAGAAGGTGAACTGAGAAATACAGCTACTGGAGAGTGCTTTAAGAATTGGGCAGAAAAAAAAACTGTTCTCAGGGGACAACAAAGGGATGTGTAGGCAGGAGCCAGGGGGTTGGGAATAAAAGATCCAGGAGTGTGGATGAGGGAAGGCTGGCACTGGTGACCTAATGGGAAGGTCAAGGCTTTATTAAAGAAGGAAGCAGAGCTTATGGCAAGGAAAAGGAGCCCCAGCTCATCCATGTCCTCCCCTGACCCTTTATACTGGGCCATGCAGCATCTCAGCATTGATCCCTTCTCTTCCTGTCTCAGAGCACCTGTTCCTTATCTGTGCTTATCAACTCCATTCTCTGTTCTTAAAAACCTACCTTTAGGCTCCTCACTAAGTCCTTCTAGCAAGGGCCTGCTAGAATGGGAAAGATGTTGAGAAGGTGGGGGTCTCCTTCCTGGCAGCTAGCAGCATCTCCTTGGTCAGGTTCATTTCTTCTTTCTGCTCACTCCCTTTCCTCACTCCCCACTATTGCCTGGGGAGGGGTTCTGCTCCCTCCATTGCCTTACCAGGGCCTTACTCCTCCCTACCCCAGCTCTCCTAGGGTAAAGTCCTCAGGAGAGGGAGGGAGAGCTGGGCTGGTGCATATGTTCTTCCTTTGCACACCTAAGGCACTGAGACCCTGGACAGGAGTACTGAATGTTGGGAGTGGATAGGTAGCAAGATTCAGGCATTCAGATGCTCAGGCTGAGTCTCCACCCTTGATGTTTTAAGAACCTGCATTGTCATCAGCCTCTTTGTAGGGATCCCTTGGAGAAATGGAGGTGCGATGACCTTGGTTTATGGGATCTCTGGCCTTGATGTTTACTGGGGAGATGCTGGACCTCAGCCATCTTGGCATCCTGTCCTTTATCTCACTGTTTTTCAGGGGTCCCTCTAAAGCATTGCTAAGAGCCTGGGCACCCCTCCCCTTTGTCTCCTGGGCTGAACTGCAGAAGTATAGGCCTCACGTGGATGCTGTGCACACAGAGACTGAGTCCATCAAGCAGAAACAGATCAGGGAAAACCAGACAGGGCTAGCTAGACAGTGAAACAGATTCACAGGACAGATTTATTTAGAATCAGAATCGTGGAACTGGAAGAGACTTTAGGCATCATTTTTAAGTTCAATCACAAAGATGTTATTTTATTCCTTTAGTGTTCATTTTTATCTGATTATAAAAGTCAAATATATAGTCTCTACATTTTAATATAAAGAAAGGGAGACCCAGAGAGCTGAAATGACTCCCCCAAGACATACGGTTTATAAGCCATGTGCTATAGAATTCCTGCCTCCTAAACTACGGACCCTCCAAGAGGACGGTGAAAACAGCCAAAAGGTGTAAGAGTATGAGCAGCATTGCCTGGAGATATTCCCTTAAAAGTGGGGTGGGGGGGAGGTCAGTGAAGGGCTCATCTCTAAGGTGAAAGTGTGGTTCTTATCACTAAGGCTATGTTCTTACACAGGCTAAAACCTGGATCTAGACCCTCCAGTTCTTCCTATAGGCCTACAGTTTTGGCCATAAAGAGCCTTCAGGAATAACTGCTTGTCTGGACAGAGCATTGTTCTCCAGAGTGATGGAGACAGACAAGGAGCCTGGTTTCAGGGGGTTTCTCATCTAAAGAAGTCTAATCCAGCCAGCATTGTACCAGAGGAGTGTGTACACCCATGGGAAAGGGACAGATGAGAATGGACAAACAGATACTAATACAGATAAATGCACCAATTACAGAATATAGACCCTAAATATAACCCAAACAGAAAATTACACTTGCAAAAATGGTGGGGACGTCACTGCCCTTCCATAAAGCCTACCTTCTCAAATCTTCCTACTTTCATTACGCTTATCCCTCTTGGCCTCCACCCTGGAGAGACATAACCTCCCTCTCACTTCTCTTTTTAATAACAGAATTACTGTCACTCTTCAAGGATTTGTTTTTTTATTATTTTGTCTGCTTTTCCTTAAAACTCTACCTATATCCATCCTGCATATCTTGAACAGGGGACTCAGAGCGCATCCCTCAATTATGTAGTGGCTGCTGCTGGGGGATGAGGTTAGAAAGACTGATATTAAAAAGAGCATTAGCTCCCTTCCAATCAGTCCAAAAGGCTTCTTGGAGGAGGTAGAATTTCAATAGCCTGACAGAAGGCAAAGTAGTGTTTTTTGGAGGGGAGGCGGGTGTCTGGCCCAGTGGTAGGAGTTCAGAGATTCAAGAGGTATAACCACACTCGGAGGGTGGAGAGTGGGTGAGCCAGAGAGTGGGTCTGAGGCAGGGTAAGGTGAAGAATGAGAAATGGAAATGAGACCTTTAAAATTTTTTTTCCTTTATTGATTTGAGAGAGAGAGGAAGTGAGAGGGAGAGAGAGATAGAAACATCGATGTGAGAAAATATTGATTGGCCACCTCCTGCATGCCCCCACTGGGGATCGGGCCCACAACCTGGGCATGTGTCCTGATTAAGAATCGAACCAGAGACTTCTAGGTGCATGGGTCGATGCTCAACCACTGAGCCACACAGGCTGGACAGAAGTGAGACCTATTAAGGTATCTGTTCTGAGGACCCTGACACAGAGGAGAACATTCTTGATTCTGACTCAGAGGACAACAGTAGGTCACAGCTGGGCCTGGAGTGAAGGTACCATGTGGTGACATCTGTGGGTGCTGCATAGAAGATCTTGTCCTAGATGACACCAGCAATAGATCCTGGAACAGCCTATGCAGAATGAACCACATGCTCATGTGCACACACACCAACCCTGACAGCAGCGGCTCATTGGATCTGTGTTAGTGATCTGTGAGGAGCAAGGAGGTGACTACAGGGACAATTCTGAAGATCGCTGAATCCATAGGCAGGAGCTTCTCTTACCATCATACCCGCCTTCAAGGCACACTTAAGAAGCTGAAGACTTCTGTGTTGGAGAGCCAGAGAGCAGGCCTGGTAGAACGTGGACACCATCCTACAAGGCAGATACAGCCCAGAACCAGCTGAGCTCAGAACCTGCAGATAAGCCCTGGAGAGTCAAATACAGGACAAAGGCTTTGTGGGCTCTGAGGAAAGAACAGACAGACAGAAAGAAAGAAATGTGTGGAACTCAGCCTAATTCTTTGCAGCTGGGAGTGGGGACAGCTGGGACAGAAATAGCAGAAAGCATTTAAGAATGAAAACCCACCTCAAGCTAGACCTGGGGCTGGGCTGGAGGTTGTGCCAACACTTTTGGGCCTCCCTCCACTCAAGAGGCCTTGTCTGCTGCCTGAGCCTGGGGAGACCAACTCATCCAATTTCCAGCATTTCCCCATGGACCAACCATCCGTCACCCACCCAAATGTGGGATCAGAGTGTGTTGGTAAGGATGAAGAGCACAAGAGGAGCCACCCAGAGGCCAGAACTGCAGGACCTCTCCCCCTAGAAGTCAACTACAGAGAATCAGGCCGGAAAACGTGGCCCCAGGGACACATATGAGGGTCTTGTGGTTCCCAGAGCAAGGGCCCTCAAGGGGTGGATTGTGACCTTCAGGAAGACCCAGGCCCTACCAGCACCCCATCACAGGCAGAGCAAAAATGCTCCTCCTGCAGCCCTCTATGGTGGCTTCGTGAGGAGGGAAGGTAGGGGAGACCTAAAAGGGAATAGAACAGACTGCCCAATTGAAGGAGCCGGTGCAGTACGACCCAGCTGAAGCCAGGGCGCCCTGATGAGGGCACTCGCTACTTGTGCTGCCCCGCAACACATAATCAAAAGAGGAGACGGGCTGTTCCCGTGGCTTTTCTTCTACCTCCATCCAGTGCATCAAAACAAGCTGACCCAGGACGCTAGGACCTATATGGGGAGGTGGGAGCTGCTACCTCTCCTCCCCAGCTCAGACCCTGCAGAGGTCCTCGAACGACCGCCAGCCACTCTTCCTTTACCCTCTCCGGTGAAGGGAAAGGACCAGCGACAGAGGGTGGGGTTGGGCGGGACTTGGGATTGGCATGCGAGATTCTATTGGTAATAGGAACTGCCGGTTAGGAGGGCTGCTCGGGCGAGGATTGGCTGCGTGAAGCGGGGCGCGGCCCGGCGAAAGAAGAGACCCAAGGGGTGGGGCTGACGCTGCAGCTGGCGCAGCTCAGACTCGGAGCAGCAGCCACCAAGCAGCAGAGCAGCCAGCTTTCCCCGCCCGTTCCGCGCCCGGGCCGGGGCTAGGCCCCCCACCGCCGGGTCCCCGGGGGCTGCAGCAGCAGCGGCGGCGGCAGCGGCGCCGCCCGCGGTTCCCGCCGGGGCCCGGGCGCCGGCCCCTCTCTGCAGGATGGGCACGGTGCTGTCTCTTTCCCCCGCCTCCTCGGCCAAGGGCCGGAGGCCCGGTGGGCTGCCGGAGGAGAAGAAGAAGGCACCGCCCGTGGGAGACGAGGCCCTGGGGGGCTACGGAGCGCCGCCAGTAGGCAAGAGCGGCAAAGGCGAGAGCCGGCTCAAACGGCCATCCGTGCTCATCTCGGCGCTCACCTGGAAGCGCCTGGTGGCCGCGTCTGCCAAGAAGAAGAAAGGCAGCAAGAAGGTGACGCCCAAGCCAGCGTCCACTGGCCCGGACCCCCTGGTCCAGCAACGCAACCGCGAGAACCTTCTCCGCAAGGGCCGGGATCTCCCCGACGGCGGCGGTGCTACTAAGCCCCTGGCCGTGCCGGTGCCCACAGTGCCCGCGGCCGCCGCCACCTGCGAGCCGCCGTCGGGGGTCAGCGCTGTCGCCCCGCCGCCAGGCTCGGGAGGAGGAAAGCCACCGCCGCCACCCCCAGCCCCGCAGGCGGCGCCACCGGTGCCTGGAGGCTCGCCGCGGCGGGTCATCGTGCAGGCGTCCACGGGCGAGCTGCTGCGCTGCCTGGGCGACTTCGTGTGTCGACGCTGCTACCGCCTCAAGGAGCTGAGCCCGGGCGAGCTGGTGGGTTGGTTCCGCGGAGTGGACCGCTCGCTGCTGCTGCAAGGCTGGCAAGACCAGGCCTTCATTACGCCTGCCAACCTGGTGTTCGTGTACCTGCTGTGCCGCGAGTCGCTGCGTGGGGATGAGTTGGCGTCGGCCGCGGAGCTGCAGGCCGCCTTCCTTACCTGCCTCTACCTCGCCTATTCCTACATGGGCAACGAGATCTCCTACCCGCTCAAGCCCTTCCTCGTGGAGCCCGACAAGGAGCGCTTCTGGCAGCGCTGCCTTCGCCTCATCCAGCGGCTCAGCCCGCAGATGCTGCGGCTCAACGCCGACCCCCACTTCTTCACGCAGGTCTTTCAAGACCTCAAGAATGAGGGCGAGGCCGCCGCCGGCGCCGGGGGTCCACCCAGTGGGGGAGCGCCCGCGGCCCCCACCTCCTCCTCGGCCGCCAGGGACAGCTGCGCGCCGGGAGCCAAGCACTGGACTATGAACCTGGACCGCTAGGGATACCCGAAGGCCGCGCCTGCCTCCCGCCCCAGCCCCTGACACACACTCGGAGCCCCCGGGACCATCAAGCTGCCGCCGCTGTTACCGCCGCTCCAAGCCCCGGCCGGAGGAGCAGCCACCCTGCCCCGCAGTGGAAGGTGGAAGCCAGGAAGCCAGAGACTACAGCGTCTGGATTTGCTGGGCGTAGGGTGGGGGTGGGGATGAGCGCGGGAAGGGGATCCCCCTACCTCAACCTTTCTGTCTACGCCCCCATCTGTCCAACTCTGCCAGGGTCTCCCCTTTTCCTTCTCTGTGTGTAAGTCCATCTTCCTCGGTTTTGTCCATTTCCTCACTTTCTTCCTGTATATTCATCTTCCCTCCTATCTGCCTTTCCATTTTACGTTCCTTGGGTGTGTATTTCAGTCCCCACTTCACCTATTTATCTCTGCCCCCGTTTCTCTTTCTGCACCTGTGTCCCCATCTCCCCTTCTTGTCTCTTTTTCCTCGCTCTTAGCATGTGTCACCACCTTCCCCCCTGTCTGCCTCCCCCACCCCCCTGTCAGCTTGCATTTATTCCCCCCGACTGAGTCCCCATACCCCTCTCCTAAGACCAAAAGGAACGTTAGTTCTTAATTTGGATCGACTGAGGTGCAGCGAGAAACTGCAGCCCCAGGGGCTCAGACAACCACCAGGATGGCCCTTCACCCCACCCCCACTGCCTCTCTCTACCTTTCCAACGTGTTGCATGCCGGGAGTTGGGGGGTGAAGGATACTGACTACAGGAAGCTGACCTTTGGGAGCAAACTCTACCTAGGAGGCCACCCCGGCGGCAGCAGCGCCTCAGCGGAAGGATGGGAAGAGACAGAAACTCTTCTTACTCAGGGGGAGGGGCACCCTCTTCCTCATCCTTAGGTGTTTTTTTGTTTTCCCCTCTTTTAATTTATTCGGTTGTTTCTGGAGGGTGGGGGGAGGGAGGGTTGGACCGGGAGCTGTCTGAGGTGCTGATCTGAGGCCGGACCATAATCCTCCCGGGAGGGTACCAGGGACTGGGTTGGGCCTGGTGCCGTATCCAAGGTGCCAATGATGCGGGCCGACGGCGCGGGCCGCACTGTCTGTGTGTCCGTCTGTTTGGGAGATAACTATAAAGCGCTGGAAGCGCCTGCAGATGGTTTTGCGCCGGCCTTTCTTTGGGCTCCGGGAGGGAGGAAGCGGGAGCAGGAGTGAAACTGCCACAGGCCCTGCAGGAGGCCCTAATGGACCTAGTGAGGAAGGTCAAGTCCCTGAGAACTGCTACTCTTTCGGTCCCGTTTACCCTCCTCCCCCACCTCCATCTTGTCTGAACAAGCTCCTCATTAGTTGCCTGTCCATTTCTGGATGAAATGATGAGGACACTAGAAGCTGTCCCCCTTTTACAGAGTGGTCCATTGAGGTAAAGCTAGCTAGTTATTATGGCTGCTTTTCGTTTCTTCCTCCATCTCTCCCCACTACATATCCTAACTAAGTCTGTGTTCACCACTCTCAGATGGGGCCTGACTGCCACACGCAGCCCCACACCCTTCCCCTTACCCACTGGACTACTTCAAGGTGCTTTGGTCACATGCCTACCCAGAGCAGACCTGTGAGGACCATCCCTGCTTGAGATTCAGAACTAGCCCTTTATCCCCAGGGAGGCTAGGACACAGGCAGCCTGGGAGACAAGAGCCATTTTTTGAGGTTGAAAGAAGAGAAATAACCTATTAGCTTGACATCCATGTTTGGTCTCCCTTGCCTTTTTAGACACGTGGCTAAGCACTCACTTCAATGTTTCATCAGCCCAAGGAAGCCTGTCTTTAGTAGAGCGCTGGCTTCTCTGACTCTAGTGGCCTGCAAAACCTCCAGAACCCGGTCAGACCACTGGGGGAGGTCCGAACAGACGGTGACCGCTGTCCGTGGTGCTGACCTACACCCTGGGACAGGATGAGCCGGGTGGGGGCCTGTAGGGGCTAGAGGAGTTATGGAATCGGCCTCCAGATGATTTGGAAGTGGAGTGTGATCTATTTTGGTGGAGAGTTACAGGAATCTGGTCTGAGATCCTAGGAATACCGGCTTCCACTTGCCCTCCTAGGAGGACAGACTTCCCCTCTCCCCCAGCCTTGGGCCTCAGCCAAACGCCCTTGGACCCGGCCTGGAGCCGGAAATCCCAGTCAAGATTTGTGAATCGAGTTCCCGGGGGGAGGGGGAGAAGAGAGAGAACTGGAGGAAGGGAAGGCGGGAGCAGCCGCCCATTGGCTGGAATTTGGCGCAGTCAGCGCGGTGCCGTCATCTCTCTTGGTTTGAACAGAGGAAGGGAGGAGCACTTGGGACACACACACACACACACACACACACACACACACGCTGTCGCCATAGTAACCAGACTGAGCCGTGGGGCGGGGGCAGGAGGGGCCGACTCTTCTCTCTACTATCTTTGGGGCGGGGCGGGAGGTGGGGAGGAAGGAGATAATCCTGATCTTTCTTATTTGGAGATAGTTAGCAAGACTATTTGATTGGAGTTGCCGCGTTAGAAGAGCCTAAAGCGGGTGGGAAAGAGACTAGAGAGCCTACAGTGACCCCCAAACATCCTGCCTTTGGGAATGGAGGTATGTAGATACTGTCCCTGAACCCACAGAGCACCCTCCCTGTACTACACACACACACACACACACACACACACATGAGCGCACGCGCATCCCCCCAAGAACTTGTGGTCTAGCACTTAGAGACCTAGAAATGAGAATAAAAAGTCTGTGGAGTCAAATTAAACCTTATTTTCCTTGCCGTATCTCAAGGCATGAGACTCTGCCATAATCCGATTACTGATAAAGGGCTGGAGGGGGATCAGCATGAATACATGAAAGAATTAGCCTCCTGGGTCAACTTGGTCAGACTCCTGTTTTCTGGGAGAGGAGGCGGTTGTAAGGCCAAAGGTTCAGAATTGTCTTTTGAGAAGGCAAGGTAGGAAGCAAGTAAGCTTAGAAACAGAGTGAAGTGCTTCCTTTTAACTTCCCAGAGTGAACCTCAAGAAATTGAGTCCAGGCTCAAGGAGGAGGGCCCAGATCTCTAGAGAGAGCCCAGCAGGGGTGAGGAGTACACTGAAAAGAATGGAGATGGAGAATAGGAGACAGAAACCCAGCTGGAGCCATGACTCAGCACTTCCTCTGGTTTGGGGGGAGGGGGTGACTCTCACTCAGTATGGCGTAGCAGAAAAGGGAGGGGAGCAAGAAAGAAAATGGGCTGATAAACAGTGATCCGATCATTTGCATGATACATGCTTTGATATACAATAAAAGGCACACATTTTAAGCCAGAAGTAGGTACATATGCATTTATACTGATGAAGATTTGTTCAATCATTACATATACACATCTCCCCCCTTCCCAGGCCCCCTTTCTGGAACAGAGGACATCCTGTCCTGAGAGCTATGCTTGCCTGTCCCTGGAATACCTTGGTGCTTAATGGGAAAGGAGAAACAAAAAATTGCAGAGTTGGAGGGGGGGACGTTGCCATAGTAACTGCTTTGCCTGCCAGGCAGGATGCCCAGCAACCAGAGCATCTGGCAGTATCCAAGGGGACATCCTGTGGCCTCTATCCACCGGGACTCTGCCTCAGGCATCGAGATGGGCATCTCCAGAAGATTTTTACCCCAGGAGCTGTTTTGGCAGCTAGGTATTGGGGCCTCAACTTCCTCCTCCTCCACCACCTCCTTTTCTTCTTCTTCTTCTTCTTCTTCTTCTTCTTCTTCTTCTTCTTCTTCTTCTTCTTCTTCTTCTTCTTGTTTGTTAATACTCACCTGTTGCTTCCCGCAGGACCAGGGCCCGGGATCAGGGCTGGGAATCAAACCTGCAACCCAGGTATGTGCCCTTGACTGGGAATGGAACTGGAGATCCTTCGGTCTGCGGGGCTGACACTCTAACCGCTGGTGATGAGCCAAACCAACAAGGGCAGGGCCTGACCTTCTTCATGTGCTCTATTGTAAGTGGTACTGCTGACCCCTTTATACATCATAAACAACATTTGCCAAGAGTGGCCTCAAGACAGCAGGGGCTAACGCTTTAAAAATCTTTATTAAGACCATTTTACTCCTTTAAAAAAGTAATTTATATGTTATCCAGAAAAACACAGAATATCAAGAAAAAACATTCCATAGAACAGAATAGGTAACCCAAAGCTAAACTTCAGCATTTGTGGGAATTTAATATATGATAAAGGTACTACTTTAAATCCATTGGGAAAATATGGAGTAGTTAGTAAATGGTTTTGCTACAACTGGGTAGTCATTTATACGAAGAAAGAGACCAATCCTTCCTCATCCTTTACCCCAAAATAAATTTCAAATTGATTTAAAAATTAAATAAAAAGCTATAAAAGCCTTAGAAGAGGGGACAACTTTAAAGTATCCATTACACTCCTGGCTGGTTTAGCTCAGCAGTTAGAGCATCGACCTGTGGTCCAGAGAGCCCTGGGTTTGGGTCCCGCTAAGGGCATGTACCTCCGTTGTAGTTGGTCTCCAGCCCTGATTGGGTCGTGCAGGAGGCAGCCACTTGATGTGTCCCTTTCATGTCGATGTTTCTTTTCTCTTTCTTTTTTTTTTTTTTTTTTTATCTTCACCTGAGGACGTTTTCCCATTTTTTGTTCAGATAGAGTGGGAGGGAGAGAGAGAGGAAGAGAGAGAGAGAGAGAGAGAGAGAGAGAGAAACATTGACGTGAAAGGGACACATCAAGTGGCTGCCACTTGCACAACCAACCAGGGCCGGGGACAAACTACAACCGAGGTACGTGCCCTTAGCGGGAACCGAACCCTGGTCTCTCTGGACCGCAGGCCAATGCTCTAACCGCTGAGCAAAACCGGCCAGGGCTCACGTCGATGTTTTTTTCTCTCTCTCTCTCCTTCCCACTCTATCTGAACAAAAAATGGAAAAATGTCCTCAGGTGAGGATTAAAAATAAATAAATAAATAAATAAATAAATAAAATAAAAATAATAAAGTGTCCATTACAATTTAAATGCACATGCATTTCCACTCAGGAATTCCAATTTTCAGTATTAATCCTAGAGAAATACTTAAACATGTGCACAAGGAGACATAATAAATATTTTTAAAATTGCATTATTTTTTGGAAAGAGACAAATTGGAATCAATCTAAATATCCAGTCATAGGTTAGGATTTAAATAAATTTTGATACATCCAAATTATTGAATACTATAGTCAGTATTTAGTTTACAAGAGTGGATTGGACTGTATGTGCTGGTGTAAAAAATCTCCAAAATATGTTGTATTATTAATAGTTGAAAATTAATACATATAGTACAATACTATTTATGCAAAAGCAAAACAAATCAAACTAAACTATAATTTCTCTGTGTGTGTGTATGTGTGTATTTGCATAATAAAAACTTGAGAAAGATATACAAACTGTAAAGAGGTAATTTACACAAAAAATGTAAATAATCAATAAACACATAATAAGATACTTAGCTTCATTATTGCCAAAAGAAATTCAAATCAAAACAGTAATGAGATATTGAATCTCTTATACTGACAAAGATTATAAAACTGGAAAATTGAAACCACAATAAAAACAGGGATACGTGCACTTTATCACCCTGTTTATAGACATATATATTTGTTCAATCTATTTGGAGAGCAACTTGGCTCTTTGACCCGGCTACCATATTTTAAAAAATTTGCCCTAAGAAGGTAGGTAACTGGGAAAAGACCTGACACAAGGATGCTTATCATAACGTTGTTTATAAGTATTAAAAAATTGACCCTGGTCGGTTTTGCTCAGTGGTTAGAGCATCGACCCATGGACCAAAGAGTCATGGGTTCGATTCTGGTCAAGGGCATGTAACTCAGTTGCAGTTCCTTCCCGGCCCTGGTCAGGGTTGTTCAGGAGGCAACCGGTCAATGTGTCTCTCTCCCTC